AATGACATGAGACAAAGTATATGTGAACTGCTGTATGAAAAGTGAATTTACTCTGTAAATCTTCACCCAAATCCTAATTAAAAAAAAAAAAAAAGTTGTGTGATAGATATACATACAACAATAACAACAACAAAAAGAAGCTGCTAAGGCAGCTTACGTGCACCTCATGGGACGTGATTACTCGGTTTGGAGGTTTGGGGTCATCCCAGTTAACTGGCCTAATAATGTGGTTAAGGCTTCTCTTCTACCTCCTCGTTTGCTGCAGGACCTTGGTCTTAAAAGCTTGCAAGTGACCATCCAACGTACAAGGATTGGTTTCTACGTGCCTGAAGTTACAGAGGCAGGAGAGGCAGGATTAGAAGGAGAAAATGGAATATGTGGCTAATTGCCTCCATAAACAACTGCCTCCTTTGCCAGGAGACCAACAGATCTGGATGGTGGCTACCATTACTCATCATTTTGATCAAATACTCTATAGAAGAATCCTAATCAAAAGTGCAGAAATGCAGACCAGATTTGAAAATTCTTATGGAATTCATACTTTTTGGAGCCATGGAGGCTGAATGAACCCCGGAAACTGTTGTGCTTAAATAATCTTTAAACCTTAAGCCAAAAATATCCCCTGAAGTCTTAACATAAACAGCTGTTTAGCTTAGCTCATAAAGAATATCTGCCTTAAGCACAGTGCTCTTTGAAGATCTATCTGTATGCAATCAAATTGACAACAGCAACTTGAAAGATAAGACAGGCACCTTAGGAATCAGTGAGTTTATGTTAACGGGGGAAGAACAGTTGACAAAAGAAGGATGAGAATGTTGCACAACTTGAAGAATGTAACCAATGTCACTGAATTGTACAAGTAGAAACTTGACTAGTGTATGTTTTTCTGTGTACATTCTCAGCAATAACAACAAAATAAATTATTTTTAAAAATCTCAAGTTCTACGTTGTAATGCTATCAAAGTATAGCTTTGTAATTATTATGGCAAAGTAAAATGCAGTAAACGATGATTTTGGAAGCTATTAATCTTATGTATGAAACAATATTAATAATTAAGTGATCCAATAATTAAGGAGAGAAAAGAGATTGACAATTGATATGAATATTTAGAGTGCGATACCTTGATATCATGATAAACTTATGTTGTGTTTGAGTCAAAAAAAATATAGTTATTTTTCTCTGGCATTATTTGGGTAATAGATAATTGCTACAAAACTTGTTACCTAGAAGTGAGGGACTATAAAATAAAAAACAAAAATTTTGGGTCTAAGCTTTTGGACAGTAAGCTGGAATAATGGTGAGGAAATTGCTTTAGGAGGCTGTTATGAAACATTTGGTATAACAGTTACCTGTGGTAGTTTAGAAAACAACAAAAAGTGTACCTAATGAAGTTTTGCATAATGTAGAAAACATCATCTGGTGACTTCTAGCTGCATAGGATAAAGTACTACAAGAAATAGTTGAGCTGAAAACAAAAACAAAAATAAAAATCTGGACCATTTGCAAAGAGAAGTTTAAGGGGAATATTGAAGTGCCAGAGCCTACTAAGTTGAAAAATAAAACTGTTGCCTTATTGTCTAGTCTCTTCAGCTAACAAACAAGTCTCAGAGTGAAACATGGCCACAGGTCAAACATCAAATCAAGGCTGTGCATATGAGTTATTTTCTTATGATACTGAGAGGCATTACGGCAGGGCTCAGTAGATCTCAGCTGGTCAAAAAATTCATTGGAGGAATGCAACAGCAGATTGGAGCTGGCATAAGAATCAATGAGCCAGAGGATAAGTCAGAATTGTTGAGTCTGAAGAGTAACAAGAAGAAAGGAAAAAGAAAAAAAAAAAATTAGCAAAGTGCAACAGAATTGTAGAATACCATGTAGTGAACTTGTAAGAGCTTTAGAGGTGTAGTGATTAAGGCATTTTGCTGCTAACCAAAAGGTCAGCGGTTCAAACTCACAAGTTACTCTGTGGATGAAAGAAGAGGCAGTTTGGTTCTATAAAGATTTACAACCTTGGAAACCCACTGGGGGTGGCTATGAGTCAGAATCAACTTGATGACAGTGAGTTTTGGTTTGAGTTTTTATTTAGTGAACCGACATGTGCATCATGGGAATTCTAGGAGGAGAAGAAAGAGAAAGAGAATGAAAGAATATTTAAAGATTTAAAAGCAGACAACTTTCCAGATTTAATGAAGGGCATGAAACTATGAAACCAAAAGCTCAATGAACTCTTAAGTAGGATAAACCCAAAGAAACTCACACTGAGATACATTATAACCAAACTCTTGAAAGCCAAAAATAGAGAATCTTGAAAGCAGTAAGACAGAATTGAACTCTCACATATACAGGATCCTCAATAAGATTAAATGCCAATTTCTCCTCAGAAAACTTGGGGGCTGGAAGGCAGTAGAGTGATGCATTTAAAGTGCTTAAAAAAATAATCAAATAAGAATTCTATATCCAGCAAAACTGTCTTTCAAAAGTAAGGCAAAATTGAGACATTCCTAGATAACCAAAAGCTGAGGGAGTTTGTTATGTTTAGTTTGGCCCTACAAAAAATGCAAAAGGGAATCCTTCAGTTAGAAAGGAAAGGATACTAGACAGTAACCTGAAATTGTACAAAGAGAACAAGATTTCCAGTTATTTTCATGGGTAGATAATGAAGGTCAGTTTTATGGTATTTTCATTTAGTAATTCTAGTTGTTATGTCTCATATGCTTTATTATGAGCAATGCATAAAAATAAGTATAAATTGATGTTTTGGGACACATTATATATAAAAGTGTAATTGATGATAGCAGTACAATCCAGGGTGGGGAGAGAAGAGGTATAGGAACTAGAGTTTTTATGTTACTGAAGTCGAGTTGGTATCAACTTAAACTGCGTGGTTAGAAATTTAAGACATTAAATATAATCCTTATGGTAACTACAAAGAAAATATCTAAAATGTATACACAGAAGGAAAAGAGAAATGAATCAAAATATTGGAATATAAAAGAAATGGCAACTAAACACAAATGATAGCAGTATTGGAATAAATGAGAGACAAAGAAGGTATAAGACACACAAAAAACAAATAGCAAAATCACAGAAGTCCTTCCTTATCCATAATTACTTTAAATGTAAATGAATTAAATTCTCCAGTTAAAAGGCAGAGAATGCAGAACAAATTTTAAAAATGATCCATTTGTATGTTGTCTATAAGAGATACATCTTGGGCCTAAAGATACAAATAGGTTGGAAGTGAAAGTATGAAAAAATACTCCTTGCAAATAGCAACCAAAAGAGAGCTGTTGTGGCCATATTGGTCTCAGAAAAAATAGACTTTAAGTCAAAATCCATATTAGAGACAAGAACATTAATGCTTTTATGCTAGGTGGGGGTGGAGGCTCAGCTCCTGCCGGGCCTGGCTGACACCAGGATGGTGGGGTTTAAGAGGTGGGTGACGCTAAGCGGTGACTAGCTGTGCTTTGAATTACTGTTTAATACTAAACACACTGCCATCGAGTCAATTCCGAGTCATAGTGAGCCCCACTGGGTTTCCAAGGCAGTAAATCTTCACTGGAGTCCACCAGCCTTCTGGTTAGCAGTCAGATGCCTTAGGCACTGCACCACCAAAGCTCCTTTGTTGTTCTTGTTGTTGTTATGTGCCATTGAGTCGGACTTGACTCATAGTAACCCCTCCTTGGGTTTCCGAGGCGGTATCACTATGGAAGTAGACTGCCCTACCTTCCTTCTGAGGAGTGGCTGGTGGGTTTGAACCACCAGCCTTCTGGTTAGCAGTCAAGTGCCTTAGGCACTACGCTACCAGAGCTCCTAAGCTCCTTTGTATTACTGTTTAAATCTGTTAAAACAAGTGCAGCAAGTAGGAGGGTATGCTTACTTTGTCACTGGACCCTACTGACACTACCCCGGAAGGGAATCGCCACATCACCATCTGCTTTTGCCAGGTGGGGGATGAAGAATCTGCTCTCGGCAAGCAACGTGCACCTCCGGGCAGGGAAATGAGACGCTTCTGCCTGGTAGAAGATGGAAGAGCAGCCCCCTGCTCAGCCTCCCAATGCTACAGGATGTGAGTTTCGCAGCACTACCACCTGCTTCTATGGGATGGGGGTGGAGTGTGGTGCAAGACCATCTCCCTGATCTTTCCTACTGAAAATATGGAGGGTGCTTGGTTAGGTTGGTTTTTGGTTGGCACAGGGGGGTATTGTCAAAATGTTTTTCTGCTAACTCACATTTTTCTGTTCCTGTGGCTAGGCAGAACAGGATTTTTTTTTTAAGGTTTTTTTTTTACCCCCCTTCGTCTGTGCCTGTTGATGGTTCCAGGCTGAAGCCTTCTGTAGTGCCCCTTCTGGGATGTATGGGAGAAAATAAGGAAACACAAAGAACTCACGGCTCTGTCCTTCCTCAAGTCCCAAGGTCCCTGGGCAGTTTGCCACCTGCTCTCCATCTACCCTTGAGTCTTCCTGTGCTTGTTTCTTGTTTTATGCTCCAGGGTTTTTAGTTGTAAGAGAAAGGCCTTCAGAGGAATGGGAGCTATTAAACTTGGCCAGAAGTTCCTCAAAACTTCCTTAATTTTAAATTCATTAGTCATGCATTCTAGCTGAATTCTTTTCAGTTTATCTGTTTGTGTTTCCTATAATTCTCAACTAAAGCAGTAAGTGAAGTGAAAAACAATTAAAAATGTATTTTAATTTTTAACTAATTCTGACTTCTGACTGTATCTGCTTTCTTATTATCTTATTCAGAGCATTTTCAAGAGAAAAAAGAAAGCAAAAGATACAGGTGCATTAAGTACAATTGTTATTTAACATCATTCTTATCTGAGATTAAAAGCTGTATTTATTGCTGTTCTCTTGTACAACTATGAGTTCATATTTTCACAAAGTACTTTCAGTAATTTGTACAAGACACTGCCTAGAATAGTTTAACAGCATTTACGCACATTGATTTAGAAGTGAACGGCAGAAACTGCTGCACATGATTTTATAGCAGAATGACCTCATTTCTTCTTTAAGAATGACGAATGACCCTTGTGATGGCACGCACATCCTGGTGTATTTCTGAGTGCCTTTATTCCATCTTTTGCATTGAGGATGAAGCTTACTAAGTTGGAAGGCATGGTTGCTTCAATTATCGATGGGGACAATTTTCCTCTCATTTCTGTCTGGACAAACATCACTAGTTTGGAATATGCTGGGTTCCTGGAAGCAAAGGAAGAGGTTTTATTTTTATTTTTATTTTTAAAGAGAGATAAAGAATTCTTAGATTGACCTATTGGATTTACAGGTTTATGGGAAGCAGGATTCTTGTTTAGTTCACAGTTGTTTCCCTTCATAGTGCATTATCACAGGGTAAATAGTTAACTGAAGGAAGGAAAAAGAAGTAGAGTGATTTGCAAATATTTAGAAATGAGAATTTTACATAAAAATAATAAGAAAGTAAGTTGTCAGAATGTGTCTTAAACTCTTTAGTTTTAGGCAGTGTTCATTTTTGTAATTTTACGGATTTTCTTAATTACAAAAATAATGTATGCTTCTTATAAAAATTTAAGCAACTCAGAAGTTTCATGACTGTAGATGATTATCGCTCCCTTATTCCCCCCATTGTGTTCTCCAGAGACAATCACTGTTCATTATTCTCACTATCTTTTCAGACTATGGACTATGTTTAATTTAAAGACAGCATAAAACCAAACACAGCCATCAAGTCAATTCCAACTCATGGCAACCCTATTGGATTTCCAAGGAAGTAAACCTTTACAGAAGTAGATTGGCCCGTCTTCCTTCCACAGAGTGGCTGGTGGGCTTGAAACACTGACGGTTAGCGGTCAGATGCTTAGGCACTACGCCACTAAAGCTCCTTAAAGACAGTATACATATGTGGATATATGTATACATGCCCCACATATACATTGTTTTAATAAAAATAAGATATATTCATTTTTCTGCAACAAATACTAGTATTATCATGCACTTGCTTCTTTGTTGATACATACCAAAACTCCAAACGAAACTCATGGCCATTGAGTTGATTCTGACTCATAGCGACCCCCATTGAGTTTCCAAGTTTGTAAAATTTTACGGAAGCAGGGTGCCTCATCTTTCTTCCAGGAGAGGCTGGTAGGTCCAAACCAGTGACCTTTTGGTTAGCAGCTAAATGCCTTAACCACTACATCCACCAAAAATCTGGTTAATTGTTTTTTATGGCTACATACAGAATGTCATACTCTATTTAACCAGTCTGTTATTAGCTATCGTTTGGATTGTATCTCACTTTTTGCTACTGTAAATCAAGCTGCAGTAAAACGTCTTTGTAATGTATTCACTTGCACTTCTATAAATACTTACATAACATTTCTAGGTCAAAGCTTCTGTGCATTTAACATTTTGAAATATTATTTCCAAGTTGCTTTAGAAGAAAATCTTAGTATTTTATACTCTAACCCAGTGGTCTTCACACTGGAGTATATGAAGACTTTCCAAGGGGTAAAACAAGATGAATACTTTTGAGGGAATAAATTTCCAAATCCTTAACTTATGTATGTGACTTTTCTTTAAACAGATCTGTCAGTATGCATCTGATGGAGATGTAGTTTTTCTCCTTTCCCACTAGCCTGCTCACAGTCACCTTTCTCTTGCTTTATAGAACAAAGACATGCCTATCATCCTCCCCAAATAGTACTATAGTGTTTTACCTGGCAGATAAAAATGTTTGAGGTGTCAAAGAGAAATGTGATTTGTCGGAAGTGAGTTAAGAAAGTGTGTGACTGATGACTGGGGCAAAATCCTTTTATAAGTCATGTTTTCTGTTCTTTGCTTTGAACATAATTGAAGGGATCTAATTGAGTTGTTAGCTGATCCCTCATTAAAAATAATTTTTTGATGACAGGCCAGTATAATTTTTGGTATATAACTCAGAAGAGGTTCAAAGGATTGAATGATACTGATCAAGTCATACTCCTTGCATTTTAACCCATTGTTTATGGGAACAAAGTTCCTCAGTTTCTATCTATAAGAATGAAAAGCAGTAGACTTGATGTTGAATACCGTTTTGTTTTATTAGTCAGTAATTATATACATAAGTAATATTTAATTAAATGAAGAACACGATGGTTGGAAAGTAGCTCTGGTGGTGCAGTGCCTAAGGCATTTGCCTGCTAACTAGAAGGTTGGCAGTTCAAACCCACCAGCCACTCTGTGGAAGGAAGATGAGGCAATCTACTATGGTAAAGATTTACTGCCTTGGAAACTCAATGGGGGTCTCTATGAGTTGGAATTGACTCGATGGGAGTGAGTTTTTTGTTTTTTTTTTAAATGATGGTTAGAAGCATACACTCTGCCACCAGTCTGCCTTGGTTTGAAGCCAAGCTTTGATATTACGTATGTGTGACCTCAACAAAGTTACTTAATGTCTCTGGACTTCCTTTGCTTTTTTTTTTTTCTTTCCCCCTAAAATATGGATAGCAAAAATGGTATACTTTCATTTGATAAAAGGTTATTATGAGTTTCAAATGAATCAATATATGCAAATTGTATTTAACAGTATCTGGCACATAGTGTCATCTTTGTTTTGCAAATAATAAAAGGTGTGTTTCCAATATTTTTGCTTTTTATGTTTAACAATTATTTAACAAATGTTTATATACATGTATATATATCTATTTGTTTTGATCGATGTGTAATAATAACAGCTCTATCTGGCAATGTATTTTTTTTAACATTTAGTTATTACCTTCACAAAAAATAAAACAAGTTCTAAAATGTTAATTTAAATACTTTTTTTGCACAGAAGTAATGATAGGTGAGTAATAAAATATTTGAAAGCATAAAACATTCTATTAGGATGAAATCATGTGAGGGGGAAAAGAATAAAAGTTTAAGGAAGAAACAAATGATGTAAAATTTCTGATTGTTAAAGGTTGTGTGTTTTTGGAAATAATAATTTAATGGAGAGTTTCAAGTTGCTATGGTTTTTAGAGCCTATGGGATATATTTGCAAGAGTGATCTAACCATTTTTTAGAATATCAATATTTACAGTATGTTAGAAATTGCCACCGTCTCATCAATTTAAAGTTATGAAAAAATTTTAATATCCACTTAAAAATGTGCAAGGGGGAATGCAGTTTTACAAATTCTTTTAGTGGGTATGAAGACACTGCTCCAGCCAACAATGTGAGTGTACAACAATGTGAGAAGTACATTTCCTTATGTACTTCTCTGTGCAGAGTTTTCCCGTTACATTGCCTCAAATGGCTGGATCGAGAAACTTACTAGCAGTATGTATGGTCTTCAATCTCTAAGTGAGTCTACTAGAGCTTTGCACACTTACAAAAAGCTTTCTAATATTTCCTAGAGAATACCATCATTACTGATATGTTTTTTTAAGTTTTCTTCATGGTTCTCAGCTGACATGCATTCAAAGTCAAGCATTAATTGCTGATGAATGTAGGTTGCTATAATTCTAGAGAAATTTTATTTTTAATTCAGGAAAACTCCTTAATAACTCACAGAAGTTACTTTAGTGGAGAATTATAAAACATCATCAGCAAAAGGTTAACTAATTGAAATTGTGTGTGTGTGTGTGTGTGAGTGAGTAAGAGAGAGAGAGAGAGAGAGATTGAGAGAGACAGAGAAAGATTATTCCCAGCAACTTCAAATTATACTTTATAGGGAAGTAATCACTCTGATTATACTCAGCATATAAACAATTATAAAATAATTATTTAACAAACTATATGGGGCAGCGTTTTTCACAACAGAATATACTGGCAGGTATTTCTATTGAGGAGTCATAGTAGACAAATAAAAAGTTGAACTAGAAAACTACTCATATAAATGCAAATAACACTTACTCTTGCAGAGGTGAACATACATAGCCACAAGGATGGTTGTAACCACGGATATAATTTGAAGATGGAGGATATTCTGGAAAATCCACACTACTAGCTAAGTGATTAAAAAAATTAAAATGAAAGCTATTTCACAATAATGAAAAACTCTAATTACAGTACTATATGCAAAAAAAAACATATGAGCTATCTATCATTTATTTATTTTCCACATTAACATTAGTTTTATACATGTGTATGTATGATTGTGCATATGAATGTGCATGCAAGCCAAAACTGAGAAAATACCACTATGGCACTACTGTCCTCTCAAACGTTTTTATGCTTTATTTTTAGAGAGACTGTTATCTTTTTTATGGAGGATAAATTGTTAAAGTGTCATTTAATTACCTTCTAAGATTTGAAGCAAAAGAAGAAATCAGAAGGAAGACTTCTATTAGAATAGTAAGATGATGGGGTTTTGATTTTTTTTTTCATATTTAAATTGGTTATACGTTTTGTCAAAAAAAGATCATTTAAAATGTTCCCTTATCTGCCATCTCTGAGCTAACCTCAAAATATAATTAAAAATCAATTCAGTTTGTTTTAGGAACTATGTGGCATAATATTGTCTATGCTTATAGATGGGAGGTGATTTCACTATTGAGTTCTTTCTAAAAAATATATTTGTTCATTGTATGCAACTGAGTCCTGCTCTTGTCAGAGAAAATGGCTTTGTTTTCCTATTTGATTTCAAAATAAGCGCTCAATACTTTAGGGAACACAATGTTAAATGGTAGTTTAGAGACCAAAGTGGTTAAATGAATTTCCATTTTCAACCAGTTGACCTGCATCATCATTTTAACAGAGCTGTTGGCATAGTGCCTAAGGCATTTGACTACTAACCAGAAGGTTGTTGGTTCAAACCCACCAACCATTCCACGGAAGGAAGACTGGGTAATCTACTTCTGTAAAGATTTACAACCTGGGAAACCCAAAGGGGATCGCTATGAGTCAGAATCGACTCTATGGCAGTGAGTTTGTTTTTTTGGTTTGGTTATACTGGCTTGACGACATAGTACTGACAGAAGTGATATTGAAATTTCTTTGTTTAAAAGTGGAGATTATGTTTGTCTCTCTTTAAAAATATCTGTTCTTTTCTACAATCTGGGTCTTTAGTGGGGAGCTCTGATGGCTTAGTGCCTAAGGTATTTGATTCACCCCCCAGGCACTCCTCGGAAGGAAGCCTAGGCAATCTACTTCCGTAGAGATACCGCCACGGAAACCCAAGGAGGGGTTGCTATGAATTGGAATTGACTTGACGGCAGTGAGTTTGATTTTTTTGGTTTTGGGTCTTTAGTGAGACATATAGTGGTAGTTAGCACAGGTTTTTGGAAATTCAAGTCTTAATTCTGGTTCAGCTACTTAATTTCATAACTGCTTGATCTCTGTGAACATCAGTTTCATTATTGATATAATGTATGCAGTGTATGTATATTTTTAGCAAGGTTCATAGTAAGGTGCATGTTGTTGTTGTTGTTGTTATGTGCCGTCGAGTCGGCCCCGACTCATAGCGACCCCTCCTTGGGTTTCCGAGGCAGTATCACTACGGAAGTAGGATTGCCCAACCTTCCTTCCGAGGAGTGGCTGGTGGGTTTGAACCGCCAGCCGTCTGGTTAGCAGGCAAGTGTCTTAGCCACTATGCTACCAGAGCTCCTTAGTAAGGTGCATAGTAAGCTAAAAAAGGAAATAAACATTTAGAAGAAAACAGTATTCATCAAAAATTCATTTAAAGGAAATTGCTTACAGCAAATTCAGTACTACTTTGTGCACTGAGTGACTACCTGTATGGTGATTTTAACTGTTCATTTTTTGCTTTATCTGACTACTAATAATGAGATAGAAATGGTCTGCTTTCAAAATACAGAAAATAATAGATCTATGATACTGTTTGTATTTTGTGTTATAGGCAGTGAATAACTTTTTATGTGCCCTCAATTAAAAACTGAAATAGCCAAACACATATGAAAGTTAGGAACACCCGCTCTTGGTGGTATACTACGAGAGAGAGCTGAGTGGAGTTTGAGTGTATTCAGAGAGTTAAGACTCAGTCTGGACTCCACACGTAGCAGAGGAATGGACACCTTGCTGGGAAATAAGAATTAACAAAATTAGCTGCCCCGACCTCCAAGTGTTTACAGCAGGGGAAGCTATTCAGACAGGAATGATGAGATTAAATCGAATTATGGAGAAAAACAGGGCACTATGGCACTGTCCTACAAAAGTCCTTTCACTATGAGCTCTGACGTTGTCTGAGTCCAAAGATTGTTATGGTATGAACTGGTATGTTTTGAATAATGCAAGTTAGGAAATGGTTAGTATATTTTATAGAATGACCCATTGTGGGGAGGACTAGGAATACATCAGAACCTCTGGTTTTTAAAAGAAATACTATGAGCATATTTGTTTATATAAAGACCCATCTAGTAGAAATTTTATCAAAAGTTACTGGATAGGTATGCCCATACTAGGAGCTCTGGTAGCACAGTGTCTAAGGCACTTGACTGCTAACCAGGAAGCTGGCAGTTCAAACCCACCAGCCACTCCTCGGAAGGAAGGTTGGGCAATCTACTTCTGTAGTGATATCGCTTTGGAAACCCAAGGAGGGGTCACACTATGAGTCGGGGCCAACTTGACAGCACACAACAACAACATGCCCATTCTAAGCAAATCAAATATAAAATTACATATTCAAAACTTAATTTCATTTCTTTAGAATTTCAGAACATATACTTAGATGTTTTAGCCTAAGTATCTCTCTACACTCAGCACTTCAGGTTATATGCTACACAAATCCAGAATATGCCTAAATCTGATGAATAGGACACAAATGATACCTCTGGAATTGGAGAGAACATCAGGCTTGTCTACCTGACACATATACTTTGTTGAGTAAATAAAATCATACAGGAAATACTTGAAAATACAGCTTTTCCCAAACTATGAATTAAAGGAAAAAATCATGTATGACATAGTAATTTCAAAATGTGGGTAAATGTTTTAACTTACAACTGATAATCACGGTATTTCCTTCATAGTGCTTGATGTGCACTAAGTCAACAAAGTCTCGGGGGGAGATTGAGCCCATGGCAAAACTTTGTGTAATGGCATGACATATGAATGTGTCCTACAACAAATCAGAACATAAAGATTTCAACAATTATTTTCATTTCTTCATGTTGATCCCCAAAGAATTTTATTGTACAAGGTTGGCCTCTACTTGGAAAAAGCAAAGCTTTGGTATTTGAAGACTTTATCAGCAAATCAGCATGCATTTTTAGTGTTGAAGGAGGATTGAATCTATAGGTATAAGTGTAGAGAATTCAAGAAGGAATCCTGAGATCACCTATTCCTTTTAATTTTTACATAGAGAAATTAAGGTAAAGTAGATTAAATCACATTCACAACTAGGGATAAATGTAGAATTAGATCCTAGGTATCCTGATTCCTGGTACAGTACTATTTCTGTTACTCAGCATTGGCTAGGTATTGTTGTGTTGTTGTTAAGTGTCGTTGAGTCAGGTCCAACTCATAGCAACCCTACGTACAACAGAACAAAACACTGCCCAGTCCTGTGTCAGCCTCACAACCCTTGCTATATACCTGAGCCCATTGTTGCAGCCACTGTGTCAATCCATGTCATTGAGGACCTTCCCCATTTTTGTTGACCCTCCATTTTACCAAGCATGATATCCTTCTTCAGAGAATGGTTCCTTCTGATAACATGACCAAAGTAGGTAAGACAAAGTCTGGCCATTCTAGCTTCCAAGGAGCATTCTGGCTGCACTTCTTCCAGGACAGATGTTAGTTCTTTTGGCAGTCCATGGTACTTTCAGTGTTCTTCAGCAACACCACAACTCAGAAGCATCAACTCTTTGGTCTTCCTTATTCACTGCCTCACATGCCTATGAGGCAACTGAAAATACCAAGGCTTGGGTTTGGCACACCTTAGTCTTCAATTAACCAGAAGGCTGGTGGTTCAAACCCACCAGCCACTCCTCGGAAGGAAGATGGGGCAATCTACTTCTGTAGTGATACTCCCTTGGAAACCCAAGGAGGGGTCGCTATGAGTCAGGTCTGACTCAACAGCACATAACAACAACAACAAAGTCATGAAGGAGAGACCTACAGTGTGCTGCAACAAAGTTCAGAACCACTAACCCACTCCTTGTTTCTACCTCTTTTTATCACGTAGTATTTGTCGTCTCATTATTTTCTTCCTCCTGAGCTTTCACTCTACCCGTTCCTTACTGATCTTCTCTCTTCTTGTAGACCATGGTTGCCCCTCATTCTCCTTTCTCTTTTCTCACCTCTCCATGTCTTCAGCTTTCTACTCTGACTACCTATGTTTTCCTTTTCTCCTTCTGTTTTTTTCTCTCCATCTGTTTAACTGAGATGATGTAATTGAAAGTGTTTCTAAGACTGCAAATCTATATAATGTTATTTTGTAGTTTATCCTTATTCTTCAGAAAACAAAACTAAAGCTATTTGTTGTTTCTTCTTAAGTCTCCACATTATGTATGTATGTTCCTGTCATCTAATGTTGTGTGACTAAGATAAGTCTACTGACTTCCCATCAGCAAAGCATGCTTAATCTTTTTTTTTTCTTTTTTTAAAAAAAAACCCATGGGTTGAATCCCTTCATAACAAAAGCATACATCTCCAAGAGAGTAGACTAGAGTCAGGAAGTGATACGCATTTGCAAACAAAATAAGCTAATTGCAATTGAGCCCTTGATTAATAAAGAGGGGAGTTTTAAGACTTTTACAGATTCCAAGTCAATTTCTATCTATAAAATACTAAGTACCAACATAACATAGGTTTAGTAAACGCAAATCAGTAGGATATAAAACAACTATAAGTATATTAATACAATAAAACTCTAATATTAAACAACAAATTACCGAATCAATCCTGTGTACCATATTGTACACTTTCAATGACTTATCCCACATGACTCTGTGTTCAGGTACATACAGAAATTCAGATAGTTTACTTGCTGATTGTGGAAGTATCCCTTCGACACGATAGCTATAGTTAGCAACATAAAGAGTAAAAATTTTAACAAGTAAACTAATTTGAAAATATAATGCTATTAAAATACAGTATGCTAATTTAGCAAATAATAGTAAAGACAAAGATAATATCAGCAATTCAATACACTGATATTTAGTTGAAACCAGCCAGGTTTATTTAAATATACATTGCAATAATTAATATGCATTAACTTTTCAAAATTCATCTTTTCTAAAGCTTCTATTTATACATGTTTCTGTAGTTGTCTTTTTAAAAGGGCTGCTTTCATTTTATTTAAAATCATTCTAAAATGTATCTGATCAACTTTTATCTGCTGTATTTATCATAAACCAAAAGTAATCAATGCTTGTATAGTTACACAAAATCTTATGGCACCAATTCTTGAGGATGTAATGTGGTCTAGAGCAAGCATTGGTAAATGTTTTGGTAGAGGGCCAAGTAGTAAAATTTAGGTGTTGTGGCCACAAAGTTTCTATTGCAACCAATCAAATATGCTGGTGAAGTGGGAGAGCAGGTCTAGGCAATATGTAAATAACTGAGCATGGCTGTGTTCCAGTAGGACTTTATTTCTTGACACTGAATTTCATATGTCATGAAATATTTTTTATTTTGTTTCAACCATTAAAAAGTGTAGAAACATGCTTAGTTTACAAGCTGTACAGATATAGGCAGTGGACTAGGTTTGGACCATGGACCATGGTTTCCCAATCCTTGGTCTAGAGGATTTAGTAGTACCCTGAATCAGTCGAAATTCTACTTAAGATCAACTTAGCCAAGTAGCTAACATTTGTGTGGGTTTGGATATCCATCAATAATATTAAAGTAGTATGAGAAAAGTGGATTAACAGTATTTAGCAGAAAATTTGTTTAATGAAAGTGAAGTCTGAACAATATTGGATATACTCTTTTCCCTGATAATCATTATTATTTTTGATAAAAATCCTTTACTAATTACTCTGCAAATATTTCCCCAGGTTACAGCCTACTTTTTCAGTTTATTTTTTATGACACAGAAATGTTTAATTTTAATGTAGTCAAATTTACTATTATATTTCATTATGCTTTATGATTTTTATACCTTTGCTAATATGTCATTCCCTACACCAAGATCATTAAGATATTCTCCTATATTTTATTATAAATTTTTTTTATAGTTTTTTACTTTGCAATTAGGTCTGTAATCTACCTGGATAGTTATTTGTGTATGGTGTGAGGTAAGGATCTAAGGTTAAATCTTTTTATATATGAAATATCAATTATATCAGTACAATTTACTGAATCCTTTCCCCCATTGTTTTGTAATGCTTTATCTGTCGCATATTTTGCACATATTATAAAGCCTATCTGACATTTGAAAGAAATTCCCCAGAAAAGATAGGAATTCATCAAAAACTCTCTAGTTGGAATTGGCTTATAATAATTCTAATCTATATACTTTTTACATCTGTATCTGCATAGTTCCTTAAGCATATTATTGTTGCTAGCTGCTGTTGAATTGGTCTGGATTCATAGCGACCCCATGTCGTACAGAGTAGAACTGCTCCATAGGGTTTTGTGTCTGTAATCTTTACAGAAGCAGATTGCCAGAATTTTCTTCTGAGGTGCCTCTGGGTGGGTTCAAACAGCCAAGCTTTTTGTTCGTAGTCAGCGCAAATCATTTGTAACACCCAGGGACCTAATATCAAAGGCAGAGTTATTTCTCTAATGACTGTTAAAATGAATATTAAGAAAGTACACCAGCTTTATCCTACAGTCAAAAATTGTATTGATATACAAGATCTGTAAACTTAAGTCAGATACAAAAAGACAACAAATGAAAAATGAGTGAGTTGAAAGCAGCAGTGGACTCCAAAAGAAAAGGAATTAAAAAACTTGCTCAGTAACAAACTGCTCAATAGCAGAAGATGATTTGATTGCATTAATGTCAGACCATGAACGATAAATGAACAATTCTAAAAAACAGATTAAAAGATGTCAGGATAATTTCCCTTAGTGTACTTCCTCTTGAAATAACAACAGGATCCTCAAAATGTCCTTAAAAACAAAATACAGAAAAAATTGCATATATGAGCAAGAATAATGAACTTCATTTTTTAACGGTTTGTTTAATGGAAAGATGAAGGGGTTAAAAGACAATAAAATACTACTTTAGCAAGAAAATACCAATCTGGTTTTACAGTAATTCTTTTAAGTGTCATGATTTTTTTTTAATTAATTTTTTGTTGTTGTCTTATCTTACTCACTGAACTGTTCACTGGAAAGATTTTTTTTTTTCTGATGTATCTTCAGATTTGAAAATAAATGATAAGAGTGTATATAATTTTTCTTTTATGAATATTACATTTCAATCTAATGACTTCATAATTAATGTGTCATTTCTGATCATTATCAAATAATTTGTTAGGGTTAATGAGATGGTGCTGAATTTAAAACAAAGCTTGTTAATAGGAAATTATACTCACATATTTCCATTGAATTTTTTAGAAGCCTTGCTGGAAACAGTTATCTTTTTCTCAAAGGGGAATAAAAATCCACAAATAAATTAGCTGTCAAATACAGAAAAAATTAAAATGAAAAAAACAAAAACGAAGCACAATACATATTTGGGGGTGTGGTTTGTAAAAGAAAATACATATTTTTAAAAAAAGTCTTTACAATGAACTGTTTTTATTGAAACCTATTTGTTTTCTTACTGAAGTTTTCACCACTTTCCAGCCCTCTGTATCTTGACTGTAACCTACAACTTCTTGAGCAGTTTGCTGGGCAACTGCTTTATAGTCCATCTACCTGCAAAGTTGTAAAAGCAAGTGATTAGTAAGAGTATAATCATACAAAAAGAAATTGCACAATGCCATATTACATTTTGATACTGTTTCTACAGGCCTGGAATATAGCAATGGACAGTAATTATTTGTTGAACATAGGTGTGCATGCCTGACTGCCTTTCTCCGTAATCAGAGTCTTTCAAATGAGAACATGTGGCACAGTGGGGAGAGCACAGGCTTTGGAGTCAAAGAGACTTGGCCTAATCTGGTCTCTGCCACTTACCTATTGTGGAAACCAAGTTACTTACTAATTCTCATTCCCTATTTTCCTCATGTTGTAAAACTGGGATAATATCTACCTTGTAGAATTAGTATTATTAAATGAGGATTAAATGAGAGCATGCACTTAACTGTCCTACCCTAATGCATGATGCATAGAAGTGTTCAATCATTATTTTTAACACCTTAATTATGCTTCTTTCTCTTCTAAGTCTTTTGCAAATGTGTTGATTACATGTTCTTAGAGAAGAATCTTTTTAAAGTGAGTGGCAGTGGCAGTACATTATCTGACCCCTGGCTTCCTCTTCAAACACACCTCCTCCTCTTCTGGCCCACTTAGCTCCAATCACATTGACTGCCTGACTATTCCACAAACACAGGTGAGCAATTTTCTACCTCAGTGTCTTTATATTTGCTGTTCCTTCTCCTTAGAACATTTTTTTCCCAATATGTTCACATGACTGACTCCCTTTCATTGGTATCTTTGCTTAAATGTCACCTCCTCAGAGACGATCAAGTTCAAATCAATTCAATTTAAATTTAGGACCTGACTTGACTTGACAGCAACTGGTTTGTTTTTTTAACTGAACCCTTACTAGGGGTTAGGTACTGTGGTAGGTATGGCAAAAATAGTTACAATACTGCTTCTGCTCTGAATGTGAAAACACAGAGCTGGATTCAAATCCTACTTTGCCACTAACCACCCGCTGTACTATTTTGGTTAAAATGCTTAAGCGCTGAACTTCAATTTCCACATCTAAGGGGCAGTTTAAGCATAGGTACTGAAACAAGGCGGGCTTGTGCTTACTCACTGATC